GCTTATTTAAGATTATGAATTAGAAAATGTCCAAGCTTCAATTAATGCCCCTATTTTAAACTTTTAAAGCTCCTTTTTGTAATAAAAAATAGATATGTAGTAAAATGGAAATGTATTATGGACATTTAACTTTTAAAAAGTAGACTAAAAAATACTCTGTAAGAAATATATTTTCAGACGCACCAAAAGAAGTGAAAAGAACATATCCAAACGGAGGAAGTAATCCGTAGTATGCAATAACATTGTTGGGATATTGGTCCAATGCTCGGGTTGTGCAGGTGTGCCACACATCCTCGAGTCAGGTCACACCTTTACATGTCATGTCCACATTTCACATGTGGATATTAGAAAGACAGAAAAATAACTATTTTAAAAAATACTCCTCCGCCCCTAAATATTTGCCACATTTGTATTTCTGAGGCAAAATATCAAGTTTTTTGAATTCTTTTTATTTACATATTGGTATGAAAATAAAAAATAAAATTTACATATAAAAAAACTACATGAAAAGTTCTTCAAAATAAGAGGTGTCAAGAATATTTTATTTTATCAAATAACCAATGAAAACGTAGAAATAAACAAAAGTTCCCGCGACTGTTGAAAAAGCAAACGTTGCAAATATTTTTGGACGGAGGGAGTATACTCTTTTCGTCTGAGAATGTTTTTCCCGTGTTAACTTGACATGTTCATTTAGGAGTATGAATTAAAAGATCTAAGCTTCAATAAATGCCCACAACTCTTTTAGAGCTCCTCTTCGTATTCAAAAAACATTAAAAAGTAGATGAATAGTAAAGTGAATACGTATTATTGATATGTACCTTTTAAAAAATAAAATAAAAAAAAGAAATGAGAAGAATATTTTCAGACAAACTAAAAAAAGAGAGTGAGAAGAACATATCTGAACGTAGGAAGTACACATAGTATGCAATAATATCATTGGGATATTGCCGACACATCCTTGAGAGTTGAGTCAGCTAAACTTAGCATCAAGAGAATGACGATCACTCTACCTGTTGTGGAACAGATCGGGTATGGTCCTACCTAAGTTGGTCTGCTAATCTTAGATTAATGAAAAATCGAGTGACAACCACCAAAAACTACGAGACAAACAAGAACACTAATTTATATTAGTCTCAAACACATGAACGATGCATGTCTCATTCACACATCCGTAATTGTCATTTGGTCCTTAATCTCGATTCTATAAATAAATAAAGCGTGGAATTCATTTTAAAATTTAAATGAATCGAATATTTTTAAAGGAACCAAATATATTTAAATGAATCGAATTTTTTAACGAACCGAATATGTTTAGTATATCAAACGAACCAAATATGAATCTTAAAAGATATTCTAACCGCATTCGAATTCAAATACCACCTTATCTTAACGAATACGAATATTATTCATGAATATTCAATTCGTTTGGTTTACAACCCTACAAGTAATGCAAAGACAGCAAAAGCAAGTAATGGCAATATATGAAATCTAGGAAATGCAATTAAATTGGGATGCTCTGGAATGTTTCCCATGAACCCAAAGCTTGATAAACACTCTCACAAGAGTCATACAGCCATGTTCCCGAATTGCAGTGTTCTCTACCACTCATATAATGTGCAGTGGTTTGAAACTTCTATTCTCTAAACGAGCGTTCAATCATTTACCAATATGGATGGCGATAGATAAGGAGCCTCCTAACTTCTTCTAGCAACGCTCGGCGTAAGGCAACATCTCACTTAAGGATGCGAACTACGGCCAAACTAACAGCAGTTATAGAAACAAGAGTGCCAATGCAGTTCTTTATAAAATCGTATTTAGCTACCTCCAATTGCGCCCTTAATGAATGGATTTCCTGAATCCAACAAATGCACACAAAACCCATTAGACTTGAAACAATCGGAAGCAGGTTGTCTGTTATAAGGCAGGGCGACTGGCGTATATCGATACTTTGATGTGTGGGTCCCACATCTTGGTATGAAAGTCTAGTCCTCCAGGAACCGTGCATGGTAGAGGTTCCGGACTCGGATAATCATTCACAATCACCTAAATGCCAACTACTTGGGTCTATGGCATGAGATTTCGTGTCAAAATTTTAAGCAAGGTGCCCTTCATGCCACAACCCCTTTGCAAAGGAATAATGAGATAACAGTTGAAACCATAATCATCATATGCATTGACATAGCTAAGGGCAACCCGTGCCCCTACCAAATTTGGTAGTAAAAAACACACACGGTATTTTCTGTGTAAAATTTTACTATCAAAACCTATATGAATGGGTTATTTTTCCATTTCAAGCCAAATTTGAATTTTAGGGGGCCTAGGTTATGCCAATGATAATAGATAAATAGGTTTTCCACTTGCAAGAAAAATATCACGGGAGAACTAAAATTGATATAACCGTTTTAGTCATGCTCCATTACAAGATTGATATTGTAAAACCAACCCGCAAATCATGGAACATGACCGACTCCAGAAAATCACTATTGAAACAAATGTTGTGCTTTTATATATCAGTGTGCACTCACTCTATCAATTTTGTTTGTGAGGCTGGAGGTTTCCTGGTTCTGATTTGATAACTCATCCCGAATTCTCCTGAAATAGAAATAAACGTCAGCAACAGACATCCAAATAGCAATCAATAAGCAAAAGACAAAAATATTGAGAGAGCACGATATTGCTCACCCCTTCTCAAGGTTAAGATCCAGCCTATGGCTAGCAGTGGCTTTGTCCATTTCATACCTGGTTCCATATAATGCATTTATCACACTTCCAAAACGTTGAAAATCAACTACCCAGTCCTATTTCCAAAAAAAAGGTCCCACCAACAAAAAAACTCCTAATTCATCAAATGAAACTAATTGTTTTTTGGTACAGAGGCTATTTTTTCACGATCGACAAGAAAAAGAAAAATATGATTCATAGTTGTACCTTGCTAAATATTAAACAGTTGTAGCTTAAAGCAAATGACTGTTTTTTGGATGGAGAGAATTGAAAAGCAACTTGTAACACTTTGAGTGAGCTGCAAAATTCAAACAAACCTCAATTCACGGCGCATCTTTTCAATATCACTTTTGAGCTTTTCAGCCTCGTGTTGCAACAAAGAGAAGTGGTTTTCCTACATTGTCAAGAGAAAAAAAAAGTATAGCAATTGAGTGACGCGTGAAATCTCTTACTTTGTTATACAACTTATAAAGCAGATATCCTAAGTTATGAATTATCGAGAAACAAAAAAATCATATATTCCATCTGTTCATTAATTCCAATCCAATCTCCCAACACACAATGAAATCAAAGTTGCTATATCCATCGCTGCACGAGAGAGTTCATCCCACATGTCCACCTTGTACAATCCAAATTCATAAGGTGATTTAGCATATGGCACCTTCTACATTAGAAACCCTCCCCCCCCCCCAAAAAAAAATAATGTACTCGGGTAGATATATTAAAACCCCAAGTTATGGTACATAGAAATTCCTGAGAATATAAGCATCAACAAGAACAGAATCATAAATAATCAATTACCATATCACACAAAAGCTTAAACCTTCTAGTGTTCTCATAAAGAGTCGGTCTCCATGAATTGTAAATGCATACCTGAGAACTCTGAACTTCAGCATTGAACTTTGACAAATTTGATTCATGAGTCATCTCAATCTGGATGAAGAGAAAACATAGCACAAGTAAAATTTCTAGACCGGATTTTTACTATTCCAACAGCCATTTCTAGCGACTCATAATCCAAACAATTCTATGAGCTTCTAAGGCAGGCTTACTTTCTGCAATTCATGTTTGGAAACAAAAGACCGAGACACGCTTTCCAAGCTATCTGTCAAAACATCAGTTATAGCCGCCGTGATGGCCTCTGCTTGCTTCGACGGCACTCCTTGACCTTCCAATTCCCTCACCTTATAAGCAAGCAGATTTGGAAACTTTAGGTTAAAAGAAGAAGAAGAAGAAGAAGAAATTCCAAAACCTAATGCAAGCAAAATCTGCAGGATCAAATCCTATCGGGGAGATACGGAATAACAGGAGAAGGCAATTTACAAGAGCCAGAGTATCGACGAAGAACAATCGCTTGGCGCTGGAGCTAGACTGCTGAGAAAAGCTCCGTGAGCAATCAAGTCGAGGCCGGCGGGCGAAACTCGTTACCAAATGCACTCCCGCGCGCTTCGCCGCAAGTGCGGCCATCGACGGCGATAAAGCGGTGGTGTGCGGAGGAAATGTAGCACAAGTCTCGCAGTTGAAAGAAGAATGGATGGTTGAGTAGGGCGCAAGCAAAGCAATCTGTTCGAAGTTTAATAATTATGGCATATATCGTCGAGAAGAAGAAGAGAGGATCATCATCATCTTCTTCGGCTTTAGATTCCTTGAAGATGGTGGTGAATTCTGGACTCCCCGTGGAAAAAAATTACTCCTCCGTATCCGAAAAAAAAAAAAGAAAGGAACGCCGGCTCCGTAACCGGAAAAAACAGAACGCCCACCGTGGGGCTCGAACCCACGACCACAAGGTTAAGAGCCTTGCGCTCTACCAACTGAGCTAGACGGGCTTGTTAGTCTGTAATGATAACCTCATATGTTAACCTTTCCCATCATAAACAAAAATGGCCATAAGAAAACGGCCAAAACAAATAATACTCTCTCCTTACATGTGGTGTGAAGGAATAAAAGAGACAACAATTACACTTTTTTGTTTTCAACATTTTTTATTATTATGTGAAGTCAAAATGTAAATTTCATTATAGAACGAAGAGATTATGTAACTTTAACTGCTAAATCGGTCAAAGAATTAAATTCTTCAAATTTGCGATAACAAATAATTTCAAAACCATTGTGTAAAAAAATGACCACGCTATAACACCCCACTTTTTGTTACAGTTACTAGGAAGCTACCAGATAGAGGAAGAGGAGCTTCCAATTAATCTGCAATCTAGGACCAAAATGAAGAACAAGAGAAAAGATAGAGAGAGAAAGAGAAACGAGAGTGATGATAGCTGAGTAAGAAATTGTTATTCCATTTCTTGCTTCAAAATACAAAGATATCAAGGGTTATATAGCCACACAAGACTAACACCCAATTATAATAAGGCTTCGTTTGGTACACGGAATTCAAACTATGGAATTAAAATTGGAGACAACAATCCAAATTCTGTTGTTTATTAACACAAAAATATGTGAATTTGGAATTGATAGTACCAAAAACGAATTGGAATTGGAGAATTCAATTTCATCCAAATCAATTCCACAGAATTTCAACTCCCAATTCAATTCCAATTATGTCAATTCTGTGTACGAAACGGACCCTGAACTAACAGACTCCAACCATTTCTTAACTAACTAACCACCTGTATCACCTTTCACCCCACCTTCTCAGAAACATCCACAAACTCCCGTTACTATGTAGTGAGAAGGTTAGAGTGAAAAGTGGGAGAGAATGAATGTGACTTTAACATTATTTTTCCAAAAAAAAAAACTTAAAACCCCTTTACAGCTCTATTTGCAACCCCCTAACATATACCCAAAAACAAAAGCATTCTTATAAATAAACAAATAGAATCCCCTCTATACACACCCTCAGTTATATGACTTAAACTGGCCTATTTCTTGACGCAGGCACGACCAAACACGGGAAAATAGGTGTCCAGCTGAAGCAGTTCAAGAATCTGTTGGCTTGTCCATAGGTATGCAGAGTGGCCATCAATGAGTTCAGTTACATCAACCTGTAAAAAGGTAAGAGCCCCACTTATTAAACCACCCCACACCAGAAAACAAACTTGGAAGTTCACCGCGGACTTACGTTCTCAACTCCAGGCAGTTCCACTGCTTGAATCCCAGCTAGCCCTTGTGTGAGCAAACTGTCAAAACAAACCAAATGCATTAGGTGCTTGAATCTTCAACTCTCATTCTTTTTGTTTGACCCTACAGTTTCCAAATAAATGTTCTCGTGTTCATATTATGTTTCCTATGTTCATATTTAGATCTGATTTTTGCATTCTTGAATATCAATTGAGCAATTATCCATCACAAGGTAATAGCTAAGATGTGTTGTGTGGAAAGAGCATTTATTTATGAAAATATATGAGACTTACCTAGCACGAAAGGCAACTCCGAGCATCCAATCGTTTGTAGAATAGACATTTATGAACCTCCCAGCCACCACCTGCAAAAGGTCAGGTTTTAAGAAAAATAAAGAGCTAACGATTATTTGAAGTGTGGGAAGTGGAGAAAATGTTTCCACCAGTTGTGGGGAACGACTAGGGGATGTAAAAGTAAAACCTTTCTAGCGGCTTCCCAGTTCATATCTTTAATCGCAATTGGTGCCCCAAGAAGTACAACTCTTTCTACGAGTCCAGCTGCTCGAAATTCCAAAAGGTGCATAGAATTTGAATAAGTAAATTGATTCATTAATTACTACGTATTAATCATAAAAAAATTACCATTTTTTTCGGTTTCAGATAAAATCTGTAGACATTTGAAAATTACTCTTGCCCCTAGTGAAAACCCGACTAGTGTCACGGGCCTGAAATTTTCATAAGCAATCAAGAATGAAGTTCATAATGTGCAACTTAAAGAGAGCCTTTGACATAATGTAATTTTGGGTGATTTAATTATGTGTTCATTTTAGAAGTTAACAGATTAATTTGAGTACAAAAATGTTGCACCTGTGCCCTTGCAACCCTTTCTGCAAAACCTCTGCGAGCAGTTTTCCAGCCTTATCAGATCTATAAATAGAGGCAACTAATAGCAACTTCTATAAAATACAGAATGAGAAAATAGAGGCCACTAACAAAGATCACCTATCAGCCTCTCAGACACAAAGTTAAGCAAAGTACCTGTCTACAGCGATTGTCCATCTGCTGTCAATAAAATCAGTGAGAGCAAGTAATGTAGCTGGCCAAGCCAATGCCGTTAAAATGGAGCTTAATACTGTCATCATGGCCCCTTGCTTCATTAATTGTAGAGCAATGCCTGCAAGTAATCATTTACTTGAAGTATGCCGATCCTGAAGTGCAGTGATGTGTAGCTACAAGTAAAAAAGACCATTTACTTGAAGTAAGCCAATCCTGAATTGCAGTGCTAACAGATATTAGATTCCTGGACTCCCACTGCAATGCATATCTGAGCAAATAAAATGCCAGTAGAAAATGCATAAGTAATAGTTCAACATCCTGTGCACGACCAAAAATCATCATTGTCATCAATTTAATTGCAACTAGTTGGGGTTGAGGATGTTAAATTTGCAGTGAGAATTCATTTTCTAAAATTTTTAACAATATATTCAACAATTCATGCAAATAATAGTACTCCGTAATAATGATAATGGAAAAAGTTCTATGTTGGATGCCATTCTCGTCTCACTTTCTTACTGCAGTTTCATGTGTTAATGACTGCACAAAAAAGTGCTTGGCAAAAATATAGGAATGTCTACCTTTCTAAGTTATTGTGGTGTCCTTCCCAAGGTCTAACAAAATCCCTCTCCTCAAAAACAAATCCAGCGATTAATATTTCAACTGCTAGCCGCTGAATGGAAAAAGTCAAATGTCACAAGTATTAACCAAAGATGTAACCAAGGTGACAACCACAAGCATATAGAGATGAACCAAAGGTATATCAACATCAACTGAAATAATAAGCTAAAACATAGATACAGACAAAGTTGAAAGATCAATAATAATCAGAAAAGAAATCCAAGGACTCACGCCTTGGTTATGGTTTTCCCCAATTGCTTTAAACTCAAATTCATCAACATCTCCTATTCTCCGGGCCATTTTAGTTCCTGTAAGTCCTGCTCCAGCAGCTGTGCATACAAGAATCAACAAAAACACGAGGGGTCAAAACATACATATTATTATACACTTCCTCCATTCATTAAATGCCGCCTTAGACTAGAGAGATAAAGAGAAAGTATGGTTCTCAGGTAAGTGTCACTTTCCTATATCAAGAGGGCAATAATTGCTCTTTTCCACCATTTCTCTTTTCCATCTTCTTATGATCTATAGGCACCATTATCCACACCTTAATCCCAAATAGTTGGGATTAGTGGCATTAATTTTATGAGGCTAGATAATTGAATAATATTCCTTCACAGCGAGAGAGTATTGATTTTACATGTTCAAAAGCACAAAACATATTTTTGGAATTATCCTATGTTCCTTCATAATGAATATTAGTGTCCACCTCCAAATGATGCAGCAACAGCAACAGAGCCAACAACACTGCCCGCAGCAGTTGCGACAGCAGCAAACCCACTAGCTCCAATAACAGGAACAAGAGTTCCCAATGTTGGTGCCAAAGCACCAAACCCTGCAGCAATGGCTGGAGCAGCTAAACCTGAAAGGTTTTAGACAATTAGTGTTTTTCTTTAGCCCATACTGCAACTCTGGAATAGCACTCTAGGGATGATGCCAATGATATGTCATACCACCAGTGATTGCCATTAATGTTCCTCCAGTCAATGCTGCCGCACCTATGATGCCTCCACGTTTCCACTTTGCCCAAGAGCTTCTAGAAGATTTGTCTTCTTCTTTGGACTCTTCCTCTTTCAATAAAGCCATTGCTGAGCAAGCAACCATCGTCTCAATGGCTTCCTGAAACACAATCACGCTTTCAAGTTGAGCCCACAATAAATTTGATTTTGAAAATATAAATAGATATCCCTCCACCCAAAAAGATGGATCACATACTCATGCTTAAAAGAATCCTATTTCATAAAACCGAGCTATGTTTTCATGAAACTTACTTTTTAAAAAAGTTACGAACAAGTGAAATACGATCAATTCAGTTGAAAATACCAATAACTTTCAAAAAATGAATAGGCTTTCATGACCTTTAAGAGTTGCACATTGTCAAAACTAAAAGGTTGTACCTTAACCGAACAGAGTTTTTGTTTTATTGACCTTGTTATGGATTGGCATTTATTTCATACGCGATAGATTATTTGGACTTTATGTAGCAGCATTTATGGATCGGTATAGAAAGTGTCTTTAGATCCTCCGTTGCTTAATCTAGCGCATATTCCAAGAATATTATGACATTGGTGAAGAGGCATGTTATGTATTTATACTCATCGGGAATAAACACAATCATATACCACTTTAATCCATTTGACATCAAGCCATGTAGCAAGTAACCGCAAAGCCACACGATGACGAGCATCATAGCCCTTCCTTCGTTGAGCAGAAGTATTTTTATTGTTATCTGGTGTATCTGCCAGACAAGCTGAAAGAAGTTCGTGCAGAACAGTCAATTTCCTATTATATGGAATCATTGTAACATCTGGTGCTGGTTTTTCATCAAACCCGCTAATAGGCTCCATATGTGCATGTATGTTGCTTGATGGTTCACAAATGGCCTCCCGTTGACTTTCGGTATGTATATTTTCGGATTCAGACTTTGAACTTGAAAATTTCTCACGACATTCATACTCATATTCACGTTGTTTCTCCTTTTCAGACTCATCGTCAATGGTTCTGTCAATGCTAGATGCCATAGAATTTATGCTGTTCCCCAAAGCAATTTCTGTTTGACGTACTTCTGATGAATCATCCACACTTCCCTCAGATAGTAACCTGAGAAACTGAAGTGCAATAAAATAAGATTATCAGGCATTATAGTAAGAAGAATCATCGACGGTTTTCCATAATAAGTTTCATTTTGGGAGGTTTCACACATATTAAGAAATATATTATACTACCTAAACACCCTTACTTAACTCTCTCAAGAAAATGATTAATCCTAGCGCACAACCAGAAACAGAAAAATAATCAATCAATCAAAAAATCAAATTTCAAACCAGACTAATCCTCCACCATTACAGATGATAAAACTTATGAACTACAATTATGGACATGCAGTTCCATATCCAAATATCATTGTTTTCCAGAGATAATATAGCCTACCTCTGATTCAAAATATATTTCATTTTGGGAGCTTTGGCACGTATTTCAAAAAGCATTCTTACTGCCTCCGTCACAAAATAGCTTCAATATTGACCGACAGTTGAAATTGTGCTTGATTTATGTAGAATAGAGACAAATCATCTGCATCGCACAAATCTTTCTTAAACGCCCAAGTATACATTTTTTAGACAACAAGAAAAGAAATACTCCCTCATTTCCAAAAAATTTTTATCCACTTTCCATTTTTGGATGTCCCAAAAAACACTTCCCACTTTATTTCCTTTTTGAGTAATGAACATGTGGCTCACAAGTCACGAGATTTTCTCTCATTTAAACTATACACTTTTCTTTAATCTTGTGTAAGTCAAATTGAATAATGTTTTTTTGGGACAGGAGTATGAAACTATTTTGAGAGTATTATTATACCTAGAGGCTAGAACATCCTTAATTGATACCCTCCCATTCTCTCTCTCTCTCTCTCTCTCTCACAAAAAAAATGATGTGAAAATGACTCGTGTTATTACAATTACAAGTAAAAAAATAGAGATAGTTGAGAGGTCAAACTAGAGAGAAAATTGAACAGTCTACCTATCCGTTCTAAAAGAACACTTAAACAACACAACAGCAACCAAGTACCACGAATGGGGTCCGGGGTGGATGTACGCACACATTACCCCTGCCTAGAAAAGAGAACTAATAAGAGCAGTTAGAGGTCAGCACTTTGTTTAGGTAGGGGGCAAATTTACCATTAAAACTAGTCTATAACTTTTGTTGGTTTGGTTTTCATGCTCTAGTGTGTAGCGTGTGCTTTGGATGTCGTCATGGGTGCTTATTCTCTCTTTACGTGTACTGTATTCGTGCTACTGTAGTTTGTTGGACCGTACTTTTGTATTTGAGCCGGGACTCTAGAAACAACATCTCTACTTCGAAGTAGGGTAAGGTCTACGTACTCTGCGTGAGATTCTACTAGATCTGTTGTTGTTGTTGTTGTTGTGGTGGTGGTGGTGGTGGTGACCCTATAAGGGCATATAGGTCTTTTTGTCCATTTGTTTGAAACTTTACCTAATCCTCTACCTACCAAGCATTTTTTCCTAGAAAAACATTTTGCTATTTCTGCCCCACACTTATCTAGGCCAACCATATAAATGTAATCCTAACAAAAACTTATTTTGCAAAATTATAGAACTCCCTAAACATCTGAAATTTAAGAACTCCCAAAATGTCACCTATTACAAACAGCTGGGAGGCTAGGAGTATAACGATAGATGGATTGAAAGTCCATAGAGAAGAAGAGATGGCAGAACGAACCGCTCCCACGTGATGCTGGGCAGGTGACTGGCCAGCAGTTTCCTCAAGCCCAGTCCACGCTGTAGTATCAATCCCTAGAAACCTGTCATCCATAAATTCGAAAAAAAAAACTGAAATCAAGCAAATGAAATTATGCCATTTCAAAACGAGACGATCACAGTCGATCAGAAATCCAATCTATATCTCAATTCAGATGGAGCAATAATCACACGAAAAAAAATGTAAATATACGGAAACAGATCCGCCGTAACTGGAAGACGGGGCGGAGGAGAGCAGATGAGTGGTGGACCCAAAGCTGGGAGTCTTCAGAGACGGAGTCGCTACTGCTGCCGCTTCCAGTGCTGATGCGGTCACCGGTTAGGCCTCCGTCTTCATCGGAGGGGAGCCCCAAAGGACGGGTCTGGTGGATCTGTGCCTGATGAAGGGCCAGCCCGAAGAGAGCGCCGGCGGCGTACTTCTGCGTCGGCGTGAGTATCGAAGAAGACGGCGACATTTGCTTATGATAATAATAATCTTTCTGCTACTGCAAAATGTTTGCGTGTCCGATTCGAATTACTGACTCAAAGGCAGAGAAGGGAAGAGAAGAACGAACATCTGATCTTTCCTTGAAGCTGCGCTTTTCTCTGACTCTGAGACTCTCTTCTGAGTTCGTCCATTTTTCATTTCATTTCATTTTATTTTATTTTATTTGCGCTCGGGTTTTTCACATAATAACGACTTTCCTCATGTGGTTCGTTCAGTTATTCTGTATATTAGTCACAAAATAAAACTCCGGACAAACGCTTTTTTTTTACATTTTTATTGATTATTTAATAAAATAATTTTGTCATCAATTGTTTGTTAAAACATTTGATGTAATTTTTTAATTTTATTTTTTGATTATATACCAATTTTTACTCATATTGATATGAAAATTACTTTAATCAAATATCGTAAATTGAATACAGACTATGAGTTTTCTGTTGGGACGTACTCTGTATGTATGTTTCACTAGCTAAAATGAATTATTCTTTGAATGGAACAAAAATTAAAAATCCAGTACTCTGTAAGTATAAAGTCAGTATTAACTATCGAGTCAGTTCTATGGTCACTCTCTTTGTGTGATTATTTATGAAAGACACTGGACATCTACTATACTTCCTAGGTAAAGGTGATAGTAGTTGCTATCACCCCTAACCTCCCGATTAAATGTTCCCATACAATCTTAACCTCTGCCCATTCATCCTTTCACGTCAATCACATTATATAAGTTTAGTTGACTTGTGAGTCAAAGAATTTGATACTAATTACTTACAAATTAAAAATAATTTGAAATAAATAAAGGAAAAAAGACTAAAATAAGAATAAAATATTGAAAATATACCAAAATAAAAATTTCATATTTTTATTCTCAAAATAAAAGTTAAAATGCATTTACATTATCAATCATTACCACGTGCATTACGTAAAATGCACGTGTACAGTGCCACATTACTACAGTAAGAATTTTTATTTAGAAAATAAAGACATGAAAATTCGTATTTTGATACTTTCTCTATGTTTTATTCCTATTTAGGGTGATGTACTGATGTCTTATAAATAAATGCTATGGAGTACAAAATATATATCTCTTCTATAGGGTTGCACCTCTAAATCCTTTACTCTAAATAATATATTTACGAAGTATTTTTTTACAATTTATATCTCAATGAGTCACAGTTTAATTTTTAAAAAAAAAGTAAACTAAGATAAGAATTCTGGGACGGTAACTAACTAGAAAATAATTTGGTCACTAATTTACCATAAAGATACAAATATTCTCGGGAAGAATTATCAGAATAAGACTTCAAGTTCACTCGGGTATACAAAACCATACTTACCAAAGTCTTCATATTAACTTCTTGTCCATACAAACTAAAACACATATATCTACACAGACATAACAAAGCATTAGTACAACAAAACCCACCCTCATAATAATTCTCTCTCCTGCCCCTCTGACACGTCAGCCTGCCCGTTTCTAGTAAGCTATGATTTTGAGGAAATGAAAAGTTCAGGGCATTTTGGGATTACCTAATAAATTAACAATGTGATTTATCAGTGGTGGTACAAACATTAGGTGCATCTGGAGCAGCAGCCTTGCTCTTCCCTCTAAACAAACCCATTTGCACACCAAAAGAATAGAACAGGAGAACGAACGAACGCCGCGCAGCACGGTAGAGGTCGTGGGCCCGTGCCGATTCATGGGTGAAAATAGTCGCATGATGCTCCCTTTTTGCAACGCCCGCTCTCGTAAAATTTACAAACCCGGTTTGATTTGTGAGGAGGAGGCCTTGAATAACCACCACCACCACCGGGAACCGGTTGTCTGTTATTCCAGGTGGCGGGTCTACTAGTCCTGCCACCACTGCCGCCACCGGGGTACCCTCCTTGACCTGTCCAGTGGTCTTTTGGACCAGGAGGAAAAAACCTCTCTGCACTATACTGCCTCCTTTGGCTGTAGTTATCCGGTGTCACATTCCCCCCATCAAAAGTACTGCGCTTCATGTTTGGATTGTTTCTCCAAGCTTGCCTCGATTGGGTATTTGTGTATCCCTGGTGAGGATCTGACTGGGATGCGCCCCCATAGCTCATGTTTCCTCCTGGTGTAGCCGCAGCCCAGCTGGGGACCCCAGCTTCGGATACTCTGCTTTGACCCACACCCAAGGCTACACCGGAAGACATGCGGCAGTCAAAGGAGAGATCAATTGACTTTGTTTCTCCAGCACTACTCGTGGACGAATGCCCATTGCTCCTCCTTGACAGAGGATCAAAAGCCGCCACCGGAACCATTTCATTCGCGGCCCGCAGCTGTATATCCGCCGTGGAACTACTGTAGGCATCATTCTTTGTGGTGGGGTCAGGTGCAGAGGCGTTCATCTCCTCAATGGAGTTAAAGCAGTCATCACTCTTACTCCACAGCATCAGTTCCACGCTACACCTCATGGCCGAAGTGGGAGAAGAGCCTCCTACTCCGCTTTGGGCTTGTGATGATTCCATCGCATCAACTTCAGCTAACAAATCAGACACCGACTCTTCGGCCAAAGTACTGAACTCAATTACGTTCGGGTGGGGCAGAGATGAATGAGTCACATCCGGCGGTTTAAGTGATGATGGAACAGATACAAGGCCAGGATCCCAGCCGTCAAGAACTAAACTACATACAGTGCTCTGGGGTGGGCCCGCCTGATCTTGAACGGGAATTGTTGAAGGGGAATGTTCACTGCTAGCTCTTGGTGGTGGACTTGAACGCTGATGAAAAGGAAAGTCTGACGACAAGGAGAGTAGTTCTTTTGCAGCTTGGACTTCCCAGCTCTCATAATTACTCTTTTTTGGTGTGGGGCTGGGAAGATCCGAGAGATTATTTGCTCTGCCGTCCTGCTCTGGTGGTGGTGAGTCAACTGACTTGGCGGTAGCCTGCACGAAATGTGTGGTGGAAGGGCCTATATCTTCTGAGTCTGTTATGGGCAAGGGATCTAAGGATCCCCAATTTTCACCAAACAGTTGGTCCATAAAACTCTGCCCGTTACATTGCATCTCATGTTCTATTGTATCAGTTGGATGATGAGACATGGTGTCACTGCAGGGTTCCTGTTGACCCACTTCCATCTGTTGTCCTTCACTAGATGATGAATGGGGAGGATGCATGCTGCTATACTCCTGAGGTTTATCAGATGATAAAGTGTCTTCGTGCAGCAAATTCAAGCATTGCAACGAAGGACGAGAACTCAAATCGGCATTCAAATGGACTACTTTATCATCATGGATATCTTTCTCTTTACTTTCTTTGACAGAAGTTCCATTCGAACTTGCAGGCCACCCGATATCCGGAATCTGAGGTGGCGCATGGGATTGCCCGTGTATATCCGGAACCTGAGGTGGTGTATGGGATTGCCCGTGCAATGCATCTCGTAAAAGTATTGATTCATTACGCTCATCCCTTGTCCATACCCTCATGTCAGGTGGGAAAAGCCCTGTTTTGCTCCACCTCCTCAACTGTGTCATGGAAAATGGCCCTTGTATGGTCCCACTAGGATCACGGTAATGCCACAATTTTTCTGTTCCATCACTATCCAGAGGAGGAGGGGTCAAATTTGCTATTGAACGACTTGGAATTGAAGTTTCAGGTCCACATCTAACTGCTGCCTGATCTACTTGTTGATCACTAATCACTGAACTACAAGTGGACGTCTGGTTAAGTCGTTTCCCCGAAATATGGGCTCCTGATGTATCTGCTTTTTCGTTCGGTCTATGTGGGGCCATCAGTGCAATAACAGCCCCTTCTGCTTTAGCTGGACCGATAAATAAGCATTTCTAGGTATACAATAGGTTGGTTTTTCAAAAAATTATTCAGAACTGTGGTTAAAGAATTTACCTTTCTTTATGGGAGGATGGGTTTGCTTGCTCTCATTCACCTTATCAAACCTGATGTTTCTTTGCCTCAGATTTTCATCTGCATAAAGAACAGAATATTCCTCTATTACTTGACAAGAAATAAAAACTACTACCTCCACCCCAAATAAAATCAAGTTTAACCAAGGCATAGTACAACTGTTATGTCGTCAATTTTAGTTGATTTTTTTGTTTTATTTTTGGCTTTAACGAAATTTATCATACTCTATTTAACTTGTATTTGGGAGTCACTTTTGAGAAATTACATGGAAAATATTCTCAATTGTTGAAATGAGACAAATTGTTTGGACAAACAATATTTCCTTTGAAACATACCCCTTAATAAGAATAGATGAGGTCATAAACCTACTCCGTAATAATCAAAAGATAAAAGCATCAGTTAAAAAACTTAAACATCCCAGAAACCTTGTTTCTTGTCATTAGTTGGTCCAAAATCTTCAGATTCATAATTAGGGTTCATCTTTGGATCAGCATGCACCTCAGGAATTTCAAGCATTCTCCTATGACGTTCCTCAGCCGTCTTCAATTGCTGTAACTTCGCTATACATTCTCTGAGAGTGCAATTTGTCAAGGCATCCCAAATACTTGATAATTCTCAGATTTAACAGCTAATCTATCTTATTTTAACTCCGTGACAGTGAACTTGAAATTGGGACTATTAACTTAAAATACTCCGTATTCACTACTCCCTCCGTCCTAATTTTGATTACAAACTGGGACTTACGAGGCAAAATTTTACGTTTTTTGAAATCATTTTATTTACAAATTTGTACATCAATAGAGAATAAAACATACATATTTAAAAAACTACGTCAAAATTTCTACAAAACAAGAGGTGACAAGAAGATTTTATTTAATCAAATAATCAATGAAAACACACAAATAAACAAAAGTTACCGAGAGGTGAGAGAAAAAAATGTAATCAATTTCGGGACGGAGGGAGTATTTGAATTACAAACAGCATGTACTGTACCACCAAAGGATATTCTTTCTTACGCCCATTTTCACTTGCTCTATCACGAAGATGGTTGAGCCGCAGTATCTCTGATTCCAAGGACTGTACAAAAAATTACCATGAGAACAAAAAGAAACCTTTTGCACCCATCCCCCCCCTCCCCATAAAAATAAATAAAGAGGTTAAGTGGTAGAGAATATATATGTTACTTCACTTAGTTTCACAGGCCGGAGTTCCATTGCTTTCTTCTCTATCTCACCCTGCAAGAGATTTCAGGTGTTAATTATCACCAGTTTTAGCAGTAATTTGGAAATACATAGAGGGCATCGACACAAAGGCTTACAACAGTCATCGGTTTTACGAGCCCGCACTTAATACTTTGACGTAATCGTCTACATTCATCCTGTAAATTTGAAAACCCTGAATAAATTTTAGGACCAATAAAAATGCACTCTTGATGAAGTAAAAAAAATGATGTATGCCATGTACCATGCAACATGTCCAATGTCAATGGAGCTAAAAGAGTCGCAATTGACAATGCTTTAGCTTTTGATAATTAATGGACTGGAGGTGGTGGTCGTTGATGTTATGGTCATGGGTGTATTTACAACAAGCAAAACCATTATAGTCTTTGCTTGCCTCATTTCTTTTCTACCTTTTGTATAACAAAACCTTCAAATGTAAGGATTGGTCATTGACAATTGTAAATCAGCTCACTTATTTATACGCGTGAACTAAAGCATATTCCCCCCATCCCAACAACATCACATTTTCTTTTTTGAGTTGTCCCAAAATTAAATTCACACTTCACCCATTTTTCCTTTGAAGATAAAAGAGGTATGACTCGTAGCATTTCTCTCTATCCTAAATATATTCCAACCATACTATTTTTTAACACTTCTCTTAAACTCCGTGAAGTCAAACTAAGAATTTGATTTTGAAATAGATGGAGTATTAAATAGGCTAATAAAATATCTCCCATGTTTGAGGCACACCCAAACAAACGAAAACAATGGAAGAGGGGTTTGACTTTTAAGCCATCAAATTTATCGGATGAAGAATGGCCTTTTAATTTTGTTAAATTATCTTTGGATCACAGAAGCAATGGATCATATGATAGATTCATAACATGAGAAGTTACAAAAAATGAACCTCCTTATATGTTATGAAAACATGAATCGCTCTATATGGATTATGAAAAAATGAACTGCTCGGTATGGAATATAATCTTTTGAAGAGGCACTCTAAAACTGACCAGAACAAAACTCTAATAGCATTTTGGCATGACCAAAAGGTGATATAAGAGAAAGAAGCATGTTCCCCTACAAAATATGAATGTCCCTCTATCCTAATTTATGCACCAAACTTCCATTTGAGAAGCTTCCCTAATTGTTTTAGTTAATCTCTTACGTATACGTTAAATCTTACTACCGATATGTTATGGGTCCGTATACCATACATCCGCAGTGTTTCCCATACATCATTGAATGCTCATTGACGAGTAACATATTACTCATTTCATATCTTTATTTATTTTAGTATTTATTCAAAACATGCACATTATAAAATATATGTATGCACATTTGAGAACTTCATAATGCTCATTACGATTATATAGAATGTTCAATTACAAGTAATACAATACTCATTTCATGCATTCACGGAATATTTTTAACAAATATGCTCATTATAAAATATATATGTATGCACATTTGGTGCTTTAAATGTATGCTCATCACGTTTATATAAGAATTATTCATTTTGGAGCCATACTAGTCTCCGACATGTTCCTGCAACCCGACGCACCCGGCTCCCCTCTTTGCAACCTAACCCAAACAGAAGCAGAGGCCCACCGGAGTGAGTAGAAGCTAGACAGTGACAAGCTGTGATTAGATGCAACCCACATTAGCGACTAGACACGTTCGCGCCAAGCATTGCGGCTACAAGGTCCTGGCAGTCGAGTGGAGCTAGGACTTCGAGGGTGTCAAGATCAGTAGTGGAGCTCACACACACTCACATCCCAGCCCCTAGGTCAACCCCCCTCCAACTTGCATTAATTTACAATTTTGCCACCCAATGTACAAGAAGAATGGTACAACTGGTTGTACCATATAAATTGTGTTATGTTTATGGCTTTTAGACGGACACCAAATAAAGACAAATATGGAAAAAGAGTCAGAAAAGCAATAAGACAACTGAACCAACCCTTTACCCATACCTCAGAGAATTCTTGATCGGAAAGAGTTTCAATAGATACAGCCTCTCTTTTGTCCAGATTCAGTACTTCAAGCATTATATTTGTTGTCTTCTCTCCAATCTTGTATGGTGTGGTCACTCTGCACGTACCTACAATTGAGATTTCAAAGAAGCAAAAACTGAGGCTCCCATGCCTAACTAAACCAACAACAAGAGGTAGTGATTACTTTAATAAGGTAATACATTTATACCTACAACATGGACAAGCCTGTACATATCCAGCTTCTGATCATTTGCAGATATTTTTATACGAACAATGGACCCTATGACTTTATCATGGAACTTCTCCCCGTCTTCAAAGATATTTTCCATCAAACCACGCCGCAAATATATAAGATTTATATTATGGGCATCAATTGCAGCGTACTCGTCAAGGCTATTTTGTGGAGCTTTTTCTTCACCCTTTTTGCATGGTTTACGTCTCTTATTTTTGTGTCTCGAGGACGAGTTACTTACATTGGCCTCCAAATGGTTAGAGCTACTCCCAACAATTCCAGCTGGTATAAAAGCATTTTTCTTAGTACAATCCTTTATAAGAAAGTGGAACTCAATAAGCTTCAACATTTCAATGTGTCCAAGACGTGATTTTCCAAACAGATTCTTGAGCTTTAGATCACAAAGAATTTCACTCTTCTTGTGTGGATCTCGAAGATTATTCCTCTTTATGTAATCTAACAGAAGTTCCTGAACATCAAACTGAGAAAGAGGTGACATATCACCATTTTTCATATATGCAACAAACTCCAACAACTCTTTAGTTCCCCATTCAGGGTATCCTTTCATAACTGAGTCATTAGCTTTGCTTTGAGGCTCATCAGAATTCGTCAGTCCCAAATGTTCATTAGAAATGCCAATGCAGGCATTTTCGGATTTGGCAATGTCTGGATTGTCAAGAATCAAAGAATCTTCCTTAGCCAACTCTTCCTTTCCCTTGTTATTCTTTAGCTCGACATGTCCAATTGACTTACCAGTAACCCCTTCACTATTATTTGCATAAAGATGAACACTATCTGATTTGGCATTGTTATGTTTTTCAGGAATTAAAGAATCTTCCATTCCTAACTCTTTTCTTTCCTGGTGATTCTTCAGCTCCAAATGTTCATAGGACTTGCCAATAATATCTTTACTATCATTTGCATAGAGATGAGTACTATCCAATTGGTGAGTGTTTGAATTTTCAGGAATTAAAGAATCTCCCTTAAATAACTCTTCCATTTCCTTGCCATTCTTCAGCTCTACGTGTTCAGAAGGCTTGTAATCCGCACAAAGATGAGCATTATCCAGTTTGGCAATGTTTGAATTTTCAGGAATTAAAGAGTCTTTCTTAGATAACTCTTCTATTTCCTTGTGATTCTTCAGCTCTATATGTTCAGAAGACTTCCCAATAACACCTTTACTATCATTTGCATAAAAATGAGCACTAGCTAATTGGAGCTTGGACTGTGTTGCAACAGCTTCTTTCCTAGGATTCTTTGCTTGAATAAGTTCATTTGATGTTAATGATAACTTTTCTTTCAAAAGAATCCAGTATACCTTGAAAAGATACTCCCAGCTAGTTTTGTCATCAAAATCTACTTGAACCTGCATGATTTATGACAAGCAACAGAAAATAAGTGCATGATTTTGAAGTTCATAGTATCTCTTTTTTTCCCTTTTTGGTGGTGTTAAGGATAATAGGAAAGGAGATGCTGCAGTTGGATTCATTCAGTCATCATAGCTATACATAATAATCCATCCTTATTGCCATCACAACTTGAGACACTACTATTTTTTAAAATGCTAAAGCC